TTTCAAAACTGCTAAAGTATCAAATAGCCTAGAGTCAGCTACTGGTATTGGTAGAACTCCAATAGAAACTGGTCCCTTAAATAGCTGCTCTTACTACCTTTTTGCAGAGAACTATAATTTAGCCAGTTCTCAACCCCTCCAATGTGTCCTCAGGGTTACATTATAGTCTTCTGTGATATTTTAAGGCAAAGAAGTCTGTATATTCTGTACCATTTTCCCAGCCAAACTAGAGAACTCCTCAAACAATTGATCACCTCTGTTTGACAATTTTACATCAAAACACATCGACTATCATTTCGTTTTGTGGTTTCATGTCTGAATCCCATTTAAGCTTTTTAAGACTAATATGAATAATTATTTGCAAACTTTGCATATTGGCACAATATTTCTGTGCATACTTTTTTCTTCCTATTGCCACCTTCGATTGATCAGAAGTAGCTCCAGAATAGCTTTGGGTGCTGGAGATTCATCCACTCATTCCATGTCCAAACTCCCTTAGGATGTGCAGGATTGGTAAGTACCTTCACATGCAAGTATTCTTTTCCAGATCCTGGGTTGGTATTTTGAATGCTGTCGATGCAGGAATATGCTGTCTTTGTGTAGCTGGAGTCAATTTGGCTGCTTTCAAATGTGTTCCAGAACAGAAGAGCTGATAGCAGCATTTATCAGTTACTTTTTTTGTTGTTGTTGTAATACGTAGATAGCATCAAAATTTATTAGAAAGATCTGGTGAAAGCACCCAAACTTGACAGGGCTCGAGGAGGATCTCTGATAGCTGTGCTCCCTTTATACACAATTTTTGGCTCTTAGCTTTTCATTAACTGTAAAGAAAATGGTCCCCTAGAAAGTCATACATGCTAAGTAGTGCTCTGCACTCAGCTCCAAGGGAGTATACTACTTTATTAAAGCTGACAAATACTGTCTTTGTTACTGCTCCAACTTTCCAGGGAAGTATACATAAGTGCTAAACCCAAGACAGTCTGTGAGAGCATGTTTATCTTCAGGAGTAATTGCAGCAGATTTGTATCCACTGTTTGAGGCCTATGCAATACCACATCTGCCTTTTATGAGATAATTTGAGAAGCTTAGGTCTCCCACAGCGGCCTGAGGTTGTCTACAAGTATTCATATAGAATATAGCAGCAAACGCTACTGGGAAGCTGATGTCTGCAGCATGTATACATTTCACCCTGATATCTGTTGGAGGGACGGTACAGCCCAGCACAAGCAATCCAGGAGGTTCCTCCATTGTGTGGAAGACAACTTCCTTCTGCAAGTAATAGAGGAGCTGACAAGGAGAGGTGCCATGCTTGACCTTGTGCTCACCAACAGGTAGGGGCTGGTTGGAAATGTGACTCTCCAGGGCACCCTTGGATGCAGCGATCACGAGATGCTCGAATTTGAGATCCTCAGGACAGTGAGAAGAGCGTGCAGCAAGCTCACTGCCCTGGACTTCAAGAGAGCAGACTTTGGCTTCTTCAGGAACCTGCTTAGTAAGGGTCCATGGGATATAGCCCTAGAGGCCAGGGGGGCCCAAGACTGTCGGTTGATATTCAAGGATCACCTGCTCCAAGCTCAGGAGTGTTGCATCCCAACCAGAAGAGAGTGCAGCAGGAGAGCCAGGAGACCTCCTTGGATGGATAAGGAGCTGCTGAGGAAAATTCAAAGGAAAAAAAGGGCTTATAAAAGGTGGAAGCAAGGACAGGCAGCCTGGGAAGAATACAGGGATGTTGTCCAGGAAACTAGCGACAAGGTTAGGAAAGCTAAGGCCCAGTTAGAATTAAACTTGGCTAGGGATGTTAAAGATAACAGGAAGGGATTCTGTAAGTACATTGCAAATAAAAGACAGACTGGGGACAACGTAGCCCCCCTCCAGAAGACATTGGGAGAACTGGCTACCCCGGATTTGGAAAAGGCTGAGGTACTCAATGACTTCTTTGCCCCGGTCTTCACTGGCAAAGGCTCTGACCACACCACCCAAGCCTTGGAAGGCAGATGCAGGGACTGTGAGAATGAAGACCTTGCGCCCACTGTAGGAGAGGATCTGGCTCGAGACCATCTTAAGAACCTGAACGTACATAAGTCCGTGGGACCTGATGAAATCCATCCGCGGGTCCTGAAGGAGCTGGCAAATGAAGTTGCTAAGACACTGTCCATCATATCTGAAAAATCATGGCAGTCAGGTGAAGTTCCCAATGACTGGAAGAAGGGAAATATAACCCCCATTTTCAAGAAGGGGAAAATGGATGACCCAGGGAATTACAGACTAGTCAGTCTCACCTCTGTGCCTGGCAAAATCTTGGAGCAGATTCTCCTGGAAGGCATGCTAAGGCACATGAAAATCAACAAGGTGCTTGGTGACAGCCAGCATGGCTTCACTAAGGGGAAATCCTGCCTGACCAATTGGGTGCCCTTCTATGATGGGGCTACAGAACTGGTGGACAGGGGTAGAGCAGTTGATGTCATCTACCTGGACTTGTGCAAAGCGTTTGACACTGTCCCACATGACATCCTTGTCTCTAAATTGGAGAGACATCAATTTGATAGATGGACCACACGGTGGATATAGAACTGGCTGGATGGCTGCACACAAATAGTTGTGGTCAGTGGCTCAATGTCCAGCTGGAGACCGGTAACGAGTGGTGTCCCTCAGGGATCGGTGTTGGGACCGGTCTTGTTCAACATTGTCGCTGACATGGATTGAGTGCACCCTCAGCAAGTCTGATGATGACACCAAGCTGTGTGGTTTGGTTGATACCCTGGAGGGAAGGAATGCCATCCAGAGGGACCTTGACATGCTTGTGAGGTGGGCAGATGCCAACCTGATGAAGTTTAACCATGAGAAGTGCAAGGTCCTACACCTGGGTTGGAGCAGTCCCAGGCACAGCTACAGGTTGGGCAGAGAAGAGATTCAGAGCAGCCCTGCAGAGAAGGACTTGGGGGTGTTGGTCGATGAGAAAATGAACATGAGCCATTTTTTTGCCTCCTTTGCTAATCAGTTTTGGCCAAAGTTCCCTCTAATTGCTATGCTGTGGTGGCTAGACTTTAAGTCTCTTTTGTCCTGCTAATACTGTTCAAAGAAAGTATCTAACAGAAGTGGGTATATTTATTTAATCCCAACAAAATTTCAGTGTTCAAGAAGTTCATCGAAGCTCACCGCTCCTTTGTACTTTGATGTCAATTGTCATCTGTTAGATTGCTTCAAAGTGCTAGTGTGCCTGCTTTCTTTGATCTTTACTATTTCAACTCCCTTTTCAACACTAAATTACTTGTGGCAAATGTAGGCTATCAACAAATTGCTCAGATTTGTGATAAATTCTTTTTTATCTTCATGGATGTTTCTTCTTAAAGCTGATGTCCAGTCTACATGAAATGTCCATCTTGACTGAATCTTGTATGCATTATTTTCTGGGAATCATTTACGGAACAAATCCTGCTGTTAGGTTAGCTATTGTTACTACTTCTGGGAAAAGATGCAAAGGAAAACATCCTTGTGAATGCAAACATTCCTTACATATGATGTTTTATTTTCAGAGTACTCAGACTCTGGACAATCGCTTACACATTCTTCTGCATAACTTTTTGTCCTCCTCGCTTTTGTATACAGGTGGTAACAGCTCTGGCAATAGGCCAGCCACAGCACCTCTGCTGACAATGCTTTGCATCCCATGTGCTTTTCTTAGCAGCATTTCCACCTGTGTATCTGGCAGAGTATTATGTATAACCAGCACATCATGAACCCTTTGTCCTTTGAAGTACTTATTTTTCTTTTTAGAGACATATCCTGTTTCATAAGTTGCTGGATCAGCTTAGCATCTATGTTCTCTCTGGCATTATTGCTTTGCTCCTTGGATACAAAGAGCATTGAGATTTGATCTTGTTATCTGCGCTGTCACTCAAAAGCATGGAAAAGACTTTGTTGTAGCATTTTTTAATGGTACCGTATCTACAGTATTCCACCTTCTTTCACATTTTGGGCAACATCTAGAACTGGAGCGTGACTGCACATCTAAGCAATTTATAGAACATCCTATGACATCATGTCCTGACATTATGCCACATTGTTGCTTGGGTTGTCTGGGTCTGTGTGTCTTCTGGGCTTATTTACAAAGCCAGCCTCACTGTTTAGATTTATGGGATACTCATTTTCATACTTGTAGTAGTAATAACAATAATAGATATATACTTTAAATCACAGGTTTTAGCCTTATTAAAAAAAAAAAAAAAAAGCCAAATCTCCAAAACCCCCCAAAGCAGTAGCAATAGAAACTGATTAAATCCGTTTTTTAGTCCAGCAACAATTGCGGAAAGTTACTAATCTGGAAAATTTCTATACAAAACCAATTCTGTTAAGCTGTTTTAAACGTGAAAAGACACTCTAGAAACCTGATCAGTGCAGATGGAGCCAGCTGAGATGCTACTGGTTAGTCTGGCTTGGGCCATTCTCATGGGATGGTGGCCAAGTGAGAGAGGGTGCCCTGCAGAAACAAGCTGGGTTCATCCAGGTTACATACTGGGAATGGCCTGTGGTCCATGCTAACTCCCTGTAAAGGAAACATTTGCAAGACCTCCAACACAGCAGTGCAGTGGTAAAGGGAATCAAGTTGTAATGTGGCATTTCCTGAAATCATTCAACTTAACTAGCAAAGAGTCCTTCATCAATTTTCTAAATTGCATCGCTTTAAATTTATGTGTTTTTCTGTATCAATTTGCATTTCTGCTTTTCTATTTGATACACAATTTCTTTGTTAATGTGCCTTCATTTCCTGTTCAACATGGGCTGTTTGTGAGACATTTGTCTTGATTATCTGACTGTCCAATAAATTCTTCTTGCATGAGCAGCTCTCAGAAGTTCAAGTACCTCACTCACAGCATGTCACCGCGCAAATGAAGATATGACAGCGAGCGACTCTGGATACCAATTAAATTTTACAAATCACTATGCACCTAACTCGTAAGTAGCATTGGTTATTTTATTATTAGTCATATAAGTGAAACTACCTCAGTGCCTCCATGCTTGCAAGATAAAGCCTGAAGAAGTGCCTTAAGAGGACCAGCTTCAGCAATCCAATTCTGACTTTGTGACTGAGTCAACCCCTCCGCAAGCGACAGCTCTGGTTATATTCGTCTTCTGACAAATTTCTGACACATCTTCGGGACGTTTTTGTTTTGTTTTGTTTTTTTTTTTCCTAAACTAACACTAACAGAACAAAACACTGCATTTTCCCAAGTGCTTGGGAACTGCTTGTGTCCTGTGCCCCTTACAAAGCAAGCGCCTTTAAAAAACCCCATGCCTCCACGAACGCATCCCTCCTTCCTCACCAGCCATCCAAGTCGCTCCGAAATCGGGAAGCGTGCGTGAGAAAAGAAGGCACTTTCCACAAGACGATCCTACTTAATCCTGACGCGGCCGAGGAGCCCTGGGCAGCGCAGCTCGGGGCAGAGCCTGTGCCAGCGCTCCCCGCCCGCAGAGGCGCCCTGCCCAGCCCCCAACAGCGCCTATCGCCAGGCCGCGGCCGCCAGTCCCGCCCCTGCCCTGCCCTGCCCTGCCCTGCCCTGCCCTGCCCTGCCCTGCCCGTCCCTGCCCTGCCCTCAGCGTGCGGCAGCAGACGCGCTGCCACCCTTCTCGCGCGCGCACCGCCCGCTGCCTCTGTTTGGCGGGGTGAGCGGTGGTGAACCTCGGACTACCTGTCCCATGGTTCCGTGCGGCGCAGAGGCGTGCCGTGGGCGGCGGAAGCAGTGGCGCCTCCTGTCGGTGACGCGGGGCAGCTCTATCCGGGCCTTTGCCGCTCTGTCTTCCTTTCGCGCCGGCGGCCGCTGTGAGGCGGCGGGTCCATGTGCGCACGGAGTGGCGTGGCCCCGGCTCCGGCCCCTGCCCTCCGACTTCTCCTCTTCCCCTCGCCGCCATGGACCCCAACACCATCATCGAGGCCCTGCGGGGTACCATGGATCCGGCGCTGCGGGAAGCTGCTGAGAGGCAGCTTAACGAGGTGAGGGGGCCGGCGGGGCCTGGGCCCGGGGCCACGGGCACTGCGATACAGGGAAGCGGGGTGTGTGTGCGTGGCAGGGGGGACGGGCGCGGACGGTGGGGTCGTGGCAGGTCTGTGTGATGGGGAAGCTAGGCAGGGCCGGCGGGAAGGGGTGAGGGCGCCGCGAGACGGGGCTGAGGGAGCGGCGGGAGCGGGGTTCCACACGCGCCACCCCTCCCCGAGCCCCGTTTCCCCGCGCCCTCGGCCCCTTCCCGCCGCCGGTCCCGGCCTGGAGTCACGACGCCGCAGGCTGGGCCCGGCCACCCGGCTCGCATTGTCCCCGGCACATGGCAGCGGGGCCTCCAGCCGGGGCCAGGCCAGGCCAGGCCATGCCGTACCGGGCGGGGCTGCTCAGGGGATGGGGGTAAGCGGCAGAAAGCGGTCGGCATTGGGGAGGAGTCCCCCGTTGCCTTTCCTGTGGGTAACAAATTACTTCCATTGTCTTCTTGTTCAGTCGGGGAAAGGGTAATCTATAGAGGGATGTTTAAAATTCTCGATGGTGCAGGCCGCCGGTGGCTCAGAGGCTGGACCCATTCCTGCCTGGGACTATCTAAGGGTAGGCTGTGGATGTGAAAGGTAGTAATTTGTCTTTGGGAAGGGAAGCACCAAGACCCCAACCCTTTATAAGCAGAGCAACCTATTAGTGTAAGAGTGGCCTGGTCTGAGTTGAGAAGCAAATCCTACAGCCTGGTGTTATTTGGTGTTTGTACAAATCCTTTGGGCTCCGGGTTCATCAGCAGCTCTGCCAAAGTAGGTGTGCGTTCTGGGTGTAGTATCCACAGGTGCCTGAAAGACGGGGGAAGACTGGGTTCCCAACCCAGGTATGTCATCTGCTTAGACTGTATTCAGGTGTCACACTGGGATATAAGAAAACCAGCAGGTCCTAGTTCCACAGGTTTCAATTTCGGAAGAAGGCTGTATTTTTGTTCCATCTGGCAGATGAAAACTTTTCTTTCTTGATGAGACACAACTGTGAGACTTAGACATTTTGAAGAAAAGGATGTTCCAGTTTTTGACTCGAAAAAGGTGGTAACCAGAGGGAGGAGGTGAGGGATAAGCCTGTGTAGCGGATGTGTGGTGCCTTTAGTTGGCCTTTTTCGCAAATGTCATTCTTTGTTGCTTTTAAGCAGATTTTAGGTCCAACAAAATACATGTAATGCAACAGATGTTCAGCAGAGCTTAGATGAAGGTTGGCCAAATGTTCTGCTGGCAGCAGAGAAACTTTCAGAAACTAAAGGTATAGCTTCCCATATTATAAGAAGGTGTAATTCAGCTGAATTTCCTGCATGCTGTTTAGTAAGTGAATGGCAAATAAACATTAGGTATATTTGAACGAGGTGGCTGTAAAACTACTCAATGTTTAATTGAGCTTTGTACAAAGTGGCTGGCTTCTCCATATGCTTTGGTAAAAAAAATTCTAATGGGTTTTGTTTAAACGAAAGAAAATAATATAATTGCCTATAAAGACAATAATATATACTGGGGCCTCAAAATGCCAGTTTTTGTGTTACATGCATGTCGATATCTATATATAGTAACTTGCTTGAAATCTATTTTAGCTATTTTCTGCAGGTATTGAGTTGCCAAATGTCCAGGAAATTAAATTCTCTGCCAGTCGATGTCTTCAGCAAATGGCTAAATCTGTTGCATGAAGGATCATGCTCACCAGCGACCAGCTTTTGTTCACACTTTGAATCAAAGCATCATGGTCTGTCATGTACTACACAAGTATTAGATTGGTATAAAATCCAAATATCTGTGCCCCTTTAAAAACACCGGACATTATTGGACCAGTGCATAAGAATTGCTGTTGTTGGAAATGTAGCCTTGCTGATCTTTCACAGACCTCTTGTGATAAAAATGTTTATTAAACCCAAAATCTGCAAGCACTGTATGCAATTTTGGTCGTATTGTTTTTCATAAATTTATTGAAGACAGTTACACATTTGCTTGCAGGGTACTGGTCTGGATTTGTTAACTGTTAGGGCACTTGTGTTACTACTTAATATTCTATTTCAGATTCGGGGGTCTCTTTCTCTGTAAAGATGAAACTATATAGCAGTGAACACTGTTCTTGCACATGGCCAGGCACACACAAGTGTTTTTACAATTTAATAGTTGTCCTTGGTTGACCTTTTAGTTTAGTTTGTCTGAAGTGTCTCTGTTGAGCTGATGAGACTGGTTTTCAGTAGAATGGTTGTTTTACTTCATCAGAAAAGAGTGTGCTCTGGTCAGTAATTGATATTCCTAATTAATGGAAGAGTAAAGTATCAAGATCTATGTTCATCATACCCTATCAATCAACAGTTTCTGCTGACTGGAGAGTGGAACCAGGCTGTATGAATTTTTGTTTTATTCAGGCTTTGTTATTTTTCCCTTGACCTTGTCTAAGTCATGAATTTTTCTATGTTGTACTTCTTCTCATTAAGTTTTATCAAGTTATATTGCCTGCACAAAAAATGCTGTGAGAACTTTCAGAGTTGAAATATGCTAAGAAAGAAAAAAAAAAAAAACAAAAAAATCCCACAAAACCACAAAAACAATATTTCAGTCCTCACAGTGGGCATAAATTATAGGGAATGATGCTACTAGCTCTTGGTCCAGCAGCTTCTCATGTAGTTTCCAGTTTATGATGTACCCTGAGGTGACTGTCCATCTCTGTCCCTGTCTTACAGGGGAAAGCTGTCTTTTAGAAGGGCTTAGAACCAGACTCTTCAAGTAGGCTACTGGAAAGCAGAAAGAAGATGTTGTTGCCTTTTGAAACAGTCTTTGCACTGCGTGTATAAAGTGTTTCTCAGAAATGGTGATGAAAATAGATATTTTTAACTATGCAGCTATGGAATGACACTGAAAATAATACACAGTGTTGTTCCATCTTTTAATATCAACATATTTATAAAAGCGCAGTTGCTAGATAATACCTTCCTTTCAGATTTCTTTGTAATTCCAGGGGATTTATAACTTAACTGTTACGTATGTCTTGCAAGTATTTGAGATCAGCCCCAGTGTGTTTGAGCTATTAAGACATCGTTTTAGACTAAAACCCCAATTTTTGTGTCTGAGAATATTGGGGGGAGGGTGAGCAATCCTCAGTAATTTGTATTTCTTTTTTAAGACAAAGCTTAACAGAATTTGTTTAGGAAAATGTTCTCCTGTTGCTCTACTGAAAAAGTGCCTTTCAGAAGTTACGTTTAAGCTTTTTCATATTATATATGGCAGTATAAGGTATAGGGAAAGGAGAAATGCTTTAGCTTGTTGACTAGTCACTGTAGCACACCATAAGTTTAACAAAATGTAGCAGGGCCTAGTTCAGTGCCCTTGATTGCCTGTTTAGTAGGTACAAATGGCATAATGATGGAATGATTAAGTGATTGGACAGTAACTACTGGGAGCTTTAGAGTGAAAGGTTGTCAAAGGGGAAGAAGCAAGGTGCTTATTACACAGTGCCTTTCACACAGGAATTTTCAAATGTTTAAATGCTATGGCTTGGATACTTGGGGGTAGGTGCCTATCCCCATCATAGATTCCTTTTGGTTTTTAATATTTTCTAACATGTTCTTCATGTCTAACACCTATGGCTATACACTGTAGTATGAGTAGGAACAGAGCATGAGTTTCCTGGCTCTGATTATCAAATCATGGGTTCCCTTTTAAAGTTGTCGGTATGACATTTTACTGAAAGTACTTGATTTTAATTTCCCTTATCTTCCATCTGTATATTTTGGTGCGTGCTGGATGGAGATGCTTTGGGAAAGGATGGTTTTAAACTTACATACCAAGGCTGGTCTAACACTGGAAAACCCCTTGAGGGCAGTAAGGAACCAAGGGAGCTTTGTCTTCGTGAGGAAGAAGTTATACTGCTGTTGCATGTTAACCAGTGCAAGGTAAAATGGTAGCAGACAGGGCGACTTGCCACTTTCTCATGACTTAGCAAATAGTTACTGTGTGTACTTAGCTAGCCCTTGTTCAGAGTACATGCCTTTTATCTCTGCAAGCAGAGGCTTCAAAACTTGGTGACAGTATTCTGATGAAATGAGTATCAAGAACGTTTGCAAGATCTGATAAATATGTATCTATTTTTTGTGGACCTTAAACTGGATTTATATATACATTGTAGCTGTATATGAGG